ATCCTAAAAAGTGCAAATTTTTTATCTAATATTTTCCTCTGCTTGTCGTAGTTTTTAGAAAATTGTCTTGTTTCGGTAAACGCACTTCACGTGGCAAGAGCAAACAATCGTTCTAACGCTGTTTGCTTAGGTTTCTTGACTAGATGAGACCCCAAAGAAATTGGTTTTTAACGAAACTATTTTTCTAGCTTTTTTAGAGGCGGATTTCTATGGTTTGGAGATGTTTGTGCTATTCTATTTTTCTCATATCTGCCCTCACGCAGCTAAGCAATCTTCGTGAATGAAAACCTTGATATTTGTTCATTTTCAGTGTTTAACTTTGAAGGGGATCTTAATCTTATTTTTTGAGTACCTTGTCATACTTTAGTCGCGCTCCAAAACTTTCTTATTGAAAACGCTAAGGAAGAATAGGATATCAGTTAACTTTTCTAAAGTAATTTTGTAATATTCTGGAGAATTGGTGAGCCATGTCGTACCTCCGAAGCATTGCATTGAACGGATTGTTTGATTTTTGTGTTCCATTTACCATTGAACTTTAAATTCTTTACAACCGTTTCATTTAATGATCAAATGCCCTTGTAGTTTATAATTACAACTAAATCTCTCTGTTGTGAAGTTCAATCAGATCAGATTATGTGCACCTTTTGATTGTTTTTTGTGCTCTCATGATTTGTTCAGGTTTTGATATATGGAAAAGTGCATCTTGAGATACCCTTTTATAGTCCCTGCCCAAACAAGAAATTTCATTGGATAATTTGTGTATCTTGCGTGTTTTTCGGCTTAGTATCGCCAATGACTTGTGCCTAAAATCAAAGTTTTGATTGCATTTTGCCACATTCGGGTATTGCCATGCGCATGAGTGCGTTATTTCAAAACTTTTTATCACGTGTGATTTAATTTCTTAGTTTGAAATTCTAACTTCAGTGAATTGAAATAGCTACTATCCAATCGTCATAACATGAATAAACTCAAAATCTCTGATAATCTTTCTTTGATATCAACAGTAGTACAGGTTGTGCCATTCTCATTCGCGATATTCATCAAACTCTGTACTTCTGCGACGGCGAAAACTAAGCGGGTTTGGCGCTAGACCAGTCTTCGCCTGTAAGATTTCAGCTTTTTGTTTAGAAGTATGTGGTTGGCTTTGCTACAGTTATTAGCATCTTTGGATGTCTTCGTCGTATTATAGAAATTTTATTTCTTACAGAATGCTGGGGATCGTAAATTTTCGTTCGGGGAGTTCAGAAGTGTATTATGTCTGGAAATTTTAATCTTTTTACTTCGTGCTCTGATACTCTGCTCTATCCAGTAATTCGGTATTTTTTACCTTGCGTTTTCGCAAGTTGGCAATCGATCTTTATTACAAACTTCCATGTAAATCACGAAATTTCCTCAAACCAGCGAAATTGTTTGGCAACTGCGTAGAGCGCAGAATTTTCAATTTTTTGCTTTGTGTAGTCTAGGGGGTAGAGATCGCTTTATCAATTTGGTGCCGGTCAGTCGCGTTATCGCTTCTAGTCGCTCATTGCTCAGTCGTTAGTATTTACATGAGCATGGCTTGAGCGCGATAATAGTGCCACGTAGGCTGTTCATTCACTAGAATCATTTCCATGATTTAGAGGAAACTCGTCCTGTTATCAGCGCTGGAACCAATATCCAGCGCCAAATTCGCTTTCAAGTTGACTCATCTTCTAGTTTTTCTAATCGTTTTGGAACCAACAACTTGGCATCTGCGTTCCTCTTGCTGTTTCATTTTCTCTCACGAACACACTAATGTTTTCTGTCAGATGTAAAGTGACGATTTCGATGACGACGCCTATCTTTGTTTTTTTTTCAGACGCTCGTCGAGTTCACATGGCCGACACACCGTCGGATGCACTATGGCGAATCGCTGCGTTCGCCGTCATCATGCTTCTGTCTGGACGTGATCGATGGTGGATCGTGTTCGTGTTGTACTCGATTTATCGACTTACACAAACTGAATTGTTTGATCGAATACGGCAAACGATACGGCGAGATTTGAAGTGAGTACGCCTTTCACTACACACAGTTTCCTCTTTACTTTTTTTTTGCCTTTTTTTCTGTCTTGATTCTTCTGCATACTAGCGAAATAAGGCTTTTATTGGAATTTTTTTCGAAATTGCTGAGTCGTTGGCAAAGCTCTTGAGATTACAGTCCTGTATTTGCGCAGCTTTTGAGAGCGCCTCTCAGGAATTTTTTGACGGTCATTTTTTTTTGCATTTTGTCAATATTCCAGAAAAAAAGGCGCTCGTCGGAGAAATTAATACCCAAAAGTTTTGTTTATAATTATTTGATTCGAGTATACAGTCTTTATGGTATAAACTTGCCATCTACACTTGTCCAAATTTATCTACAGAAAGTGTTGCGAACACCTTCTTATTATTAGG